GTGGCTTTCCTAATCACGTCCAATCCAGTATTAATGTGATTTCCTGAGTTTTTATGAATCAAACCAGATGCCAAATACATAACTTCAAACAAATTGACTTCCAATTACTGGTGTGGTGTACCACTTCCAGATGTGCAACAGATGGGGCCAGGGCAACCAAAGGTGTGTCAACCCATGCTTTGTGTTATTCTGCTGCAGTAAAACAGCAGTAGAGTTGTATGTGTTTTAAATCACCGTAGGCTGTGGGCTGGAGGTGAAGGGAAGGACAGGAGGGTAGTGGGGGAAAAAATGAAAGCACATCATTAGGAAAATGTAAATCTACACAGCACAGACAGAGGAGCTCCAAGCAAAGGGTCTGAATACTTATGACCATGTGATATTTCAGTTTTTCTTTTTTAATTAATCTGCAAAAATGTCAAAAATTCTGTGTTTTTCTGTCAATATGGGGTGCTGTGTGTACATTAATGAGGAAAAAAATGAACTTAAATGATTTTAGCATATGGCTGCAATATAACAAAGAGTGAAAAATTTAAGGGGGTTCCGTACCCACTGTATAGCCGCAATAAGTTAATGTAGGCTGATATCTCAGCCTGTCTGATTTATTGGACTACTTCTATAATGTTGTCTAAAGCATTTGTTATCACAAGTGTCTGTACAATAACCTTGCCTAAAGAAAGCAGTGTGAAACTCATAATATTTTGACGGAAATTAAAAATGACTGAAGAATAATTGAATACAAGGCTTTTATATATACCCAGCTTCCGTCTCATCAGGACTGGACAGGCTTTTTACCTTTGTTTTTCAAATTACATTTACTGATGCAAGTTTTGTTAAATTTCTGCTGAAGCAGCTTTGAAAAAGAAAAGTGATTCTGCCCGTGTGCTTTGTGTGTGTTTGTTGTAGGAACTGGCACTGGGATGAGCCATCCTGTGGCTATGAGGTGTGCGTGGTAATGTACCACCAGCCATCCGCTCCTCCTGGTCTTGGGGGCCTCTACATGTTCCAGTGGAATGATGACAATTGCGAAACCAAGAACAACTTCATCTGCAAATACACTGCAGGTACCACTGCACACTAATTCAGTATTCTTTTACTTTGAAAATACTTAAACTTGGTTCATTGTGAATCGTGTTCTCCTCAGAGATGCCATCTGACTCTCCCCCGTCTCCCAACTCTACTCAAACAGGTAAAATGTGCTCAGGAAGATTTTTCTGACACCGACACAGCAGTAAATTTAGCTGACATTTTGTGAACAAGACAGTCTGAGCATCATGGATGCATTTCATTACAGATGTCATCCCTTCATCTGTGCTGCCGTGGAACCCAAGTGACCACAACCAGGACAGAAGTACAGGTTGACACTGATTTTCTGCAGAGAAGAGTATCCTCTTGTCACTGATGCTGTCATATTCAAACACCAACATGACAGATATTAAATCTGCCTGCCTGTTTTCTGTCTTTCTTTTAGCTATGAATTTGGTTTACATTTTTATTCCAACCATTCCTCTGATACTGCTGTTGCTGACAGTGACTGGTGTCTGCTGCTTCAAACTGCTTGGCAGACGGTGAGGGTCCAAAATACAGGAAAACTCTAAATACTAGTGTGACTATTGATATAAAAACCCAGTTGTCCTGTTAGGGCTACAGTGTCTATAACCAAAACTGTTTCAGTCCAACTCACAGTACTTTCTGGCTTGATCACTGATGAATTTAATTGCTCTTGGATAACAATGGAGGTCACTGGGGAATAAACTTCATCAGGCTTTTGCTACTTTGGTGAATACTTGTCAATAGAATCCAACCATTTGATCCTTTACCATTTTGATATTCACCTAACAGAAACTATTGCTGTCCATCCTCTACACCTTGTCAACCATGTGGTTCAGGTTTTATTTGATGTTAACATTTGTGGTGTCTTCTTTTTTATGCATTTCTGTGTGTGAAACAGGAAGAAACAGCAAAAATCAGAAGTCTGCCAGACAGACCCAGGCCTCTGCCCCAGTCCGACTCCAACTGACGTCTACAACGTCATTCGCTCCCAGAAGGAAGACGACCTGGTTTCAGCTCGCCCACAAACCAAGAACACCTCCTTTTTATGCTCCTCCCCTGACACACCGACAGGTGACTATGACAACCTGGGCACTCGGGACACAGAGAGTGGCTTTGTGACGCTTGCCAGCACAGAAAGCTGCTTCCTCAACTTTGACCTCAATGACCTCGGCCTTGGGCGTCGTGACACTCGTGACTTCTATGACACCAGCTTGGGTCGTCCAGGAAAGAGGGACCTGAATGACAGCAGTTTGGGTCGCGCTGGGCACAAAGAGTTTTATGACAGGAGTTTAGGCCGCCGTACAACAAAGAGTGAGCATTATAGCAGCAGTGTGTATGGCGACCATGGATTGTATGATGGTGGCATCAAAGGAGCGAGTAATCTTTGTGATCCTAAACTGAGGCCTGGAGGACACACGGTAAAAGCTGACCTCTACCAGTCATACATCACAAACGGGAAGGGAGACATTTACCAAAGCAGCCTCGGAACCTATGGAAACCGAAAATCCTCCCAAGCAAATCTGGACTGCTACAGAAATGGCCTGAATCTTGACGGTGGAACAAGATACTTCAATGAACAAGAATGGATCAACAGAGAAAACTACTGATGCTCTAAACAGCTCCTTTATTGTGTGTACAGCAGTGTGTGTGTGTGTGTGTGTGTGTGTGTGATAGAGTGTCAAAAAACTGTGCATGTATATGGTTGTAACTGTACCTTAAGTTTCTGAAACCTTGTAATGGATGAAAGTCAGGTGAGGTCACGTTGAAATAATATTTTGTTGATAAGTCCAAAATACACCATGTGACAGTTTGGGGGAATATGAACAATTTAAAAACTATATGCTTAAGGACTCGCTTTACCCAAATTACCAAAAAAAAAACCAAACAAATAAAAAAACAAGAAAAAAAAAACATTGATTCTCTCACTACCTGTGATGGTATCTTCCCGTGCTGAAATTTTGGGTGTGCCGAGCTGAGACATCCATACGGCTTTCTGCCTCCACCCCTGACTTTGCTGGTCATGCTAAAAGCATTTGAAAATCAGGATTAAAGAATTAAACTAAACATATCTTTCTGTTAAAACACCCAGGTTAACCAGCCTTCACTGTAAGTTTTGAATGTAATTTTTCTGTGCTATCAAAGTTGGAACCCATTTATTTTATTGAGATGGTGGCAGAAATCTCAGACAAACATTATGTGGCAAAAGTTTTTATATGCAACCACTCAACCACTACAGACAAGAATTTCTTCTTTTTTAACAATTTGGGTGAAATAAATCTTTAAAGGAGTTGAACAGATTTGAAAATGTTTTTAAAAGAAGTGTGGAGGAGTGGAGTTGGAAGACCTCTGCAGCCTGCTCTTCATCTCTGCTTGAGGCTGGCTAGCAGCAGTACGCTACGTTAACCACCACAAGCCTAACACCCCCAAATCTCAGTCCGTGGTTGAACTGAATTATGGGTAATGTAGGTGCCAGGTTTTGACAACAAAGGTGGTGTGAAATATGGAAGATGATATTTCTGGTTTAACTGTCCATTGTGAGTCAGACCATCTTATATAAGTGGACTATTGCTCTGGACCTCGTTATGGGCCCCAGTCATTTCAGGTGATATTGTGCTTCAAATATATTTTGTTTTTGATAATTTACCACAAATGAATTCACATACAAGAAAATGAGGGCCTTCAGAGGCGGCTGATATTCCAGCTTTGAGGAGAAGAGGCCCAGTTGAAGCGCTAAAATACAATGACGTGTTCCAGGTGACTTTTATCACGTCACCTCCCACTGTCCTCTCACACTGTTGTATTACCATAATTTACAGAGACAATAACCTCCCTCAGATCTGACTGTGATTTTTTACAATAAAAGTATGTATGTAGCAGCCTGTTTGCATGGCCTTGTTATGCTGCCCTTGCTTGGTAGAATAACTGTTGAGGTCTTGGACACTTATGTTTGCTGTGCCTGAAAATACTACTGTAATCACACATAAGTTTACCTGATATAAACAAGCTACCTCCAACAGACAAGAAGCCACACAATAAACCAATACTGCTCGAGGCAGCAAAGACAAAGAGTATGTTTTGACATGGACTAAAACTATAACACTTTTCCTTCATTTATTAATGATCTCCTCTCTCTGTGTTCTTCAAAGATAGTAAAAAACAGTGGTCCCCCTGCAGTCAGACCACTGTGACAGCATGCTACTGAAGAGAATGATAAAATACAGCATTATTTATTCTTACTGTATAATGCCTTGACATCGCTCCTGTAGGCAACAATAGTTTGTATGTTTGTTACATGACAAAATCTTCAAATAAAATGAGAATTGAATCCGTGGGTGTGTGGTGCTGTGACTTTGCTGCCCAAATGAAAAACAAATGTTTTATTCACAGTAAATCATGTTTTTATTAACATTCCAACTTAAATTAATAATGTATCCTTGCATTCATTCATCTCCCACACAAAAAAGATACTGTTCAATTTGCAGACAAGCAAACACTACAAGATCTCTTAACTTCTGATTAAATATTCAGAAAATTCTTCCATTTAGGTAACATTTTCAAGTAAAGTATGGAGAAAAAAACCACTCATTTGTGTGCAATGGCCTGTTCTGGACTAAATACATGTAAACTCTTGTAGTGTGCATCCACTATAAGACATTCATTTACACAGCCAAACACACACACACACACACACAAGATAAAATGTCTGGCTGATATCTGTGAAGCACACCTGCTTACATACCATTTTGTCTTCAGACTCACACACACATGCCTGAAGGCAGACATAATGTCCTTAAAGGGTCTGATATCTTCCAATGTTTCATGATGCCAATACTTGAAAATACATGCATGCACACATTCAAAAATCACGCATACACTCACCAGCCATGCAGAGAGGAAGCGACTGATTTTTGTTGTTAGGATTTTGTACTTGTACCAGGCTGAGGTTCAGACGTCAACCATGGGTCCGCTTACGAGGCTGCTTTTGACGCCGTGGTTTCAAAATGACATATCTCCTGTAGGTGGTGTGGTGGTCTGACATAAATGGGATGTAGAATGCTCTGAAGAGAGGGGATGACCTGAGAGAGAGAGAAATACTTAATTAAAATATTTTTCAAGTAAATTGATTTAGACTGAAGCTCTTCCAAATATTTAAAATATCAAGAGGATGCTTCTCATTTTCTCAGTTAGCTTTAAATGCAAAGATTTACAGTACACTGTTATGATCTTCAGGTTATTTGAGAGTCATGGTTTCTGTCTGTTTCAATGTAAATTATCCATTTGGGGAAATACCTTGACGCTTGAAGGAAAGTCTTATAAGCAATGATGTTCCACTCCTCTTTGTTGGCCGAATAACGTGGCTCAAGTGGTGTCTCTTCATCTGTGTCCAGGTCCACTAAGTAGTGGCACTGCTTTAAATCCACCTGCCCAAGGTGGAACTTTTACAATTAAAACGCAACAACAAATAACTACAGTGTCTGTGTGTCAACCACCAAGCATTCGAGTGACTCACATATCTGGATGGCTCCTCCTGGTTCTGGTCATTCATATTGGCTGGGATGGTCTGTGTAGCCAGAGGACCAGAGGCATACGGTTGAGGTAGCTGGCCCTTAAAATCAGACTGAATGAAATGCAGTTGCCAGCTGCAAATTAGAAAAAGTAACTATCAAGAAGCATCAAAGTAGCAGACACACTATATATAACCTTGTCTTGAAATCATGTAGATGCCCATCCACAATAAAAGACTACACTACATTTTGCCTTCTGACATGGAAATGAGAAAACACATTTTCCATACTTTATTAGACTATGAAGGCCTGTGTACTGTATGTTTCCTGCATACTAACTTATGTGGAAGAAGGAAGCTGCTTGGGAAGCGGTACCACTCTTTGCCCACACACACACTGACAGGCCTGCCTTCAGGGACTGAGTGAAGTGTCGGATCTTTGGCAATGCGATGAAACTCTGGATACAGGTCCAGAGGGGCATGGTAGCCTGCGGACAGAGGAAAAAATCTCATCTTGTACATCCTGAACTGTTGTTTTTGTTGCCTGGCACTGGAGCTGTATTTTGGAATAGTGCCTGTGTGTATACACACCTCTGAAGAGGCTGACAGAGCGAGACAAAGACAACACTGTGAAGACCACAACTGTACTTAGAGCCAACCAGTTTGAGGAAACTGTGTAGTGCTCTAGTCGGTATCGCTGAAACAGGAAGTGGTAGCATTTCTGCATGAAATAAAACAAATCTGTAAAAACTCATTTTAAACACATTTATATTCACAACAAAAAGGGGCAACTGACATTGAGTACTGTTTACTGCCAAAACTGGAAGATGGCAAACCACACCTGTAGAGAGGAAAGGGCTACTGCCCCGCTGAGGCAGATGAGCGGGTAGATGGGAAAGAGAAAACGTTCTTCTTTATGAGGTCTGGTGAAGAAAACCAACATCCACAGATACATGGGAGACAGAGTCAGCCAGTATGGACGGCCCAGGTTCTGCACTGCAGAGAACACATGTGCGCACAAGCACATGAAAATCACAAGAGGGACTACTTTTAACAATGCAGAAAAAAGACTTTAATTTAAATGTGATTAATTCTGTTTCTGCTATGCCAATACTAAGGAGGTTGTATTTTTGTAGAATTACATTTACAGAAGATCTTGAAAAGACTTTTCTTCAGTTTTACTTGTTTAGTTGTATTACTTTAATCTCTCTGTATTGTTAAAATTGAGATTAAATAACCATATATTAAAAAATGTTACAAAATACACATGCTTTCAAAATGTGTCCTAATTTTTTCACATGACTGTACATCCAGTCCTTACCATTGAACCTCTGTAACAGAGTCTCCATGAGAGCAGTGAGTGGTAGAGAAAACAGTGCCAGAGCAAACACCAGGTTGAAGTTCAAGATCCCGTTTACAAAGTAGAAATGCCACGGCTCTGTACCTGAAGATTAAACAGCACAAAGCAGCCAAAACTAAATTACAGCTCATGTACAAACTATCACAATAAAACATCATAACTGTATCCAACAGGGTCAATTATCAAAGTATTTGTTATACAAGATAAAACTTTCAACAATGATGTGGGGACAATGACAATAAGGTCCTAAACATATTGTATTATTGCCTGTGAATTATTAATTTGCTGGTTATTTCTGCCAACTCAGTAGAGAGGAACAGAACCCTACTGGCACCTACACTCATTGGGCTTGATATGACAGTGTTGATGGTACGTCCTCTAGAGTCCAGTAAAAGCAGTGCAACTTTAAATGTAGCTTTAAGATCCATTTGCTCTATTTTGTCACTAAACTAAAAGTAATATACCATCAGCTGAACATTTACTTTAATAAATACCCTGAACATGCAAGTCACTTCCAGTATTGCACATCTTAACTGTCTTATACAGAGTGTATGTACATACAGTACACACCATATCCAGACTACACTCATACGAGTGTTACTTCTAATGCTCTACTAACTCATCCTCTCTAGTTTCCTCTAGTATGATTTGACATTGTTCACTTACAAAAATGAAACGTCACATCTTGTTTTCCGCACAGCACACATACGACAATGATCGCTGGCTGTAGGCTAGTGGCTATAATCAAACCCGGTATTATAGTACAACAGAAGCTACTAAATTTGTCCTGAATGCAATGATTCTCCCACACATCACATATTGTTTGACTAGTTGGTGTCGATAGCATATAAACACATTTTGAAGGTTTTAGAAAAAAAACATCATCATTGTGACATTTTATTAAACTATGATCTTTTAAGTTGATAAAAACTAGGATATTATGCTGATGCCATACTAGTATTTAAGATATTAAATGGCACTCGCCCAGTGGTGCGCTCCAAATATGTGAAAAGAACCACTAGCTGTAAGACACGAGCTGCTGTTAGAGGTGATTACACCTTTTGCCATTCTGCCTTTTCTTATGATGCTTCACATGGCTGGAAAAAGTTACAGCAGACTTGAGAGATCTAGCAAGATATGGGCTTTTTGCAAAAAGGTTAAAAGTCTGGTTACGTAAAAAACTAAAGTGACAAGATGATATTTGATAAATGGTGTCTTTGTTTTTAATGTGTTTGTAGATTTGTTCACCAATCTGACTTTCGACATGATAAAAAATGCTATATTAATGATGTGTGCTCTTATATATTACCATACAGATCAGGGCCATGTGGTGTGAAGACATTATACAGTAGAATATTAAGCGGAGCAATGACCAGTTTGCCATAAAAGAAAGAGTCCAGCGCCACCAGGGGTACCTGGAAAAGACACACAGGATACACATTTAGTTCTGGCAACAGAAATTTAATACATATCATTCATGAAAAATCACAAGTAGACCTATATAGAATATATATATATATATATTTACCACGACAATGTTTATGTTATATAAATTTCTGTATGACACATAATATGCATTAATGATTAGTTTTCCCACAAACTGTAGCTCTGACACTTTAAGAAATACATCTACACACACATTTCTCTTGTACTATGTAAATGTAAAGCCTTTCCATGCATTATTTTAAACATATTCTCACCAGCAGCAGAAGCAGAGCGGCAGCTGCCCAGGTGATAAAACTTTTCCACTGCTTCTTTAACACCAACAAGTCAAAAGCGATCGGAATCCTGCAGAGAAAATATACGATACCTGTGCAACATGTAATCATTTTCACAAGTCTGTCTGGGAAAAGCAGTGCCAATAATTAGGCGCTTTGGCTCATGATCGTACCCGATCAAAACAGAAAACGGCCATCCAATGATAGCACCGGCAGCCACACCCATAATAGCTAATGGGGTCGAGTCCTGAAACCACCCTGTCATGGAAACCAGT